AACAACCTCTTTATGAAGTACATCAAGTGCTCGATTTGCTTCCTCACCCAGCTGCCTCTGGCGCTGCTCAAGCTTTCGAATTTCGTGCACAAGCATGGATGGATCTGTAGAAGTAATTGACTGCTTCTCTATGGCCTGTTTTTGAACTCCATTTCTAGTCCAAGTTTCTTGGGTAGGTTCATCTTGAACGGGAAAAGAAAGACACCTGACTACTTGACTAGAAGGTCCCCATTCATTCGATTCCTGAAAGCATGATAGGATATTTATTAGCAGAAAATAAGGGCAAGGGATAGATTCATATTAATCTAGAAACCACCTTCTGCTCCTTGCGTGTTTTTCTTTCTTGTTCAAGCTGGGATTGTACCAGGTCCCTCTGACGCTTCAGTTCTTTCATTTCCCTTTCCATCTACAAATTAGTTTTTCAATTGACCATATGCATAATTGAAGAAGTACCCATTCAAATATTAGTAAATACAATTCCTTCTTTACTGGTCAAACTTGGTAGATGAAGCAATGAAACAATACTGCAAATAGCTTTCTCATGGCAACTACTGCCAATAGCTTTTCATTTTTTTATACCCAAAATAGTTTTTCAATCAACCGTAAATCTCCTTTTCTGTAAATATAGAAGGGCAATTAGCTTAGCAACTTGCGCATGATTATAGATTTCTATTCCGTAAAATCTCCAGGAAGTCATTACTTCTGCTGTGAATACGGGCGGTACCCCCTTTGGTACCATGTTAATACATATTCATAATTTTTCTTTAAAAAACAAGTCATTACATTACTACTGCTCAAACAATAAGCACGTCATTGCAGCTCCACAAGAATGCACGATGGACTGTTTTGGCACAGGCATGGCAACAGCTCGTGGTGTTTGACCACTGGACTTGTACCCTGGTGGCCAATCAGCCATACATAACTATTGATACAATGCTCCATTTAAAGGAGAAGATAACTATTGATAGAAATGCTGGAAGGAGAAGATAACAAATGATAGAAATGCTGGTTCAAAATGAACCAAGAATCAGAATTTGATTATTAGAATTCTAAAATTATGTGGATCCAAAGGGCAAGAATCTTTAGGAATCCTCTTATGAGAAGAGCTGAAGTGAAATCAGCTGAGTGCAAAATGTGCCATTTTTATAACATGCCATAGGATCTAATTTATTCCTAGATCCTATCTGGCAATTAAAGGCTCACGGAAACTCTTAATTTCATGTTTTAAAGGAAGAAAAATCCTAATTTCATATCAAGGAAAGCAATTGAGAACTCTTCTATTCAAAGCCAGAAGGTAATTTAGACCCATTTTGTCAATCTACAGGATTTAGTCAACTCCTAAATCAAATAAGGGTCCTTGTGATGTTATAGATGATCATGTGCCATTTACCTGTTGGATTTTCATTTCCTTTTCTACTAGTAGAGACCTTAAGCATGAAGAGGACGAAATCTCTGGACTTTGTAGCTCTGCTTCAAGCCTGGCCACTTCTTTCTGCAGATGCTTCACTAATTTCTTGTCTGAGACAATCTGTACCACAAAATTCATCATATAACTAAGACATTTTACATTTCAGTATTCACTAAAGCTACCATATAAGGCTCTTTCAGGAACTAGGCCAGTATATAAGGCATGAACATGAGTTACACACTTCCATCAATAGCCACATGCAAAGAATGTATGCTTAACCATAACATCATCTTTAAGCATGCATTCTATTTTGCTTAATAAGACCTACAATTATGTAGAACTTTTTATAAACAAATACATAAACTAAGCATGCATGTTTGCACCTGCTTCCTAGATTAAAAGAAGGAAAAAGAAATGCTTGTGTGTTTATGGTTTCAAGGATTGCTTCCAATGATCCATTCACCACATATTTACTTAGGTCTCTCCGTCAGAGATCTTTAGGGAAAAGAAAAAGCTACCTGATTTTCTAGAGGTTCACCATCAATCTTAGAGGCAGCAAAGAAATGATATTCAAAACACTTATAGCTTTGTAATCCATTAATAAGATTAGCTGCCATGTCTGGAATACTATATGGCACTACATTTTGTAAACTCCACTTCTCCAAAAACTGAAAAGTACATTGTGGAAAGCATACTATATAGCTAAACCTCTTGAGATAATCCTAATGGCAATCTACACATACACGCACATGCACACAAGTGCACTTGCGCACACATATATTTCCTTGATTGAAGCATATCTTTTCTGTTTGCATACCATGTTTACTTTGGCATTGTTAGTGACTTCCTTTGCACTGGTAGCAAACGAAAGGGTATTCCTTGTTTGCTCCACATGACTTAAAGCTGGACTCATGGTACATATAATTGCTGTTCGAGCATTTCCTCCTAGCGAGTTCTGCAATATCCGTGTAA